ATCCATCCATCCATCCATCCATCCATCCATCCATCCATCCATCCATCCATCCATCTATCTATCTATCTATCTATCTATCTATCTATCTATCTATCTATCTATTTATTTGGGACAGTAATGCATGAACGAAAAAATATATGAAACAGTGTCTAGATGAATGTACAAAATAAGTAAGAAGCCCACGTCCAACATGCACTGCACAGAAGGCAAAAAAAGCTACAGGCACCGGGTCCCAGCATGCATGCGACTGCTGAATGGAACAAAAACCGTTAAGTTCATAGTAAAAACATAAAAAGGAGGCTTAACATTACGTGGTACAAGCAAGGTGAGGAGACGTGAACCAAAAAAACCCCCCACATTCCAAACAAAATGAAAAACAAAAAAAGTGGTGGGGTGGCAAAGTAACAACGATGGGGGGGAAGAGAGAGAAAAAAAAGGGGGGGGGGTTAGAAAATGAGCACTTACAGTTAATCGGCTATGCCATCATCAAGAGCGGAAGGCGGGGAGCGTAATAAACATTTAATTGAATATCTAACCAGGGTACTTAGTGATAGTATGACGTACTCAAATTCTGATTGGTTTTCTGGAGGTTCTCCAGATGAAGCTGTGGTTCTTCCAGTGACGTAGGCTGGGCCAGATAGTGTGTTTGGGGTACTGGTATCCATTTTGTTTTCTTTTCTTTTCGTTTTGTTCACGTCCTCAATGCCAGTGGGTGAATGTACCCATTTCCCTCAAAAGAGTTGTCCTTGCTTCTGAAAAAAAATGAGTTTATGACGTATTGTAATAATAATACCTCGACGATAAACAAGAAGAGTTTACATAAATGCGACGAAATAATTTAGGCAATGTCATCATCATAGTCACTGTAGGTATCTAAGATGATGAGCCATTAGCTGTAGTTTTTTTTTATTATAATAATGCGATTTTTTTTTTTGGATTTTTTTTTTGGGTCATACATTTTAAGGCTGAAACTTTTTATAATACAATCCTTGAATGAATCAATGGTCCACGCAGGGAGGGAGGGGGGCAAATAGTTGAAAGCCGGACATGAAATAAACCAGAGGTGTAATTAATTGTTATTAAAATGGCGATGATGGGTGCCTAAGAAAATAGTCAATCTTTTGAGGTGCAGATAAGATGTATATGAGTTATATGCAGTGAAACAGTTGTACGTTGCGTTATTATTGAACGCTTTGGTCCGAAGAGCGGTTCATAACTTTCAGGTTACTTAATTAGCTCGAGACTCATTATGTACTGGGGCACAATGTTGCATTCGTACACTAAAGGTGCCTTTGACAGAACTCAATGACCAGAATATTATATATTATGTTTGTTTGCCTCTAGAAAGTTGAGGTACTAAACGATCTCTGGTAGCTCAAAAATAGATACATTCTTTCGAGTGATACTGCAGAAAGTTAAGTAAATTTTCCATGAAGTTAAAACAAACAATCAAACAAACAAACCAAAAAACAAAACAAAAAGAAATTCAACACGGGAAGTGTGACCTTTTGTCAAATATTCAGCTACTTGACAAAAGATTAACAATCCCCAGACTCACCGACCCTCCTCAAGTATTTTATCTGAATTTGTGTCTCTGTCACGCGCCTCATAATCATAATGTTTATTTTTGTTTTTTTTTGTTTTGTTTCAAGGGTGTATAAGAGCTACCTGTAACTTCTTAATGACAACATTAACAAAAAGACTTACCACATTATTTGTAGGTGAATCCTGTCAGCTATGAGAAATTTAATTCCTCAAACTCACTCATCTGTTTATTTCTTCCAAATGAGGATGAGTAAAGTAATCTCCTTAGAATCAAAATGGAAGAATGACATTTGTGAACAAATGGCCACAAACCTTAGGAAAGTTGGTTGAGAATGCCACTGAAGGAAGGATTTTGTCACGTGAATACTTCAGAACAGTTTGCGTTTCTCTGATGACTTCCTCACGTCTTTATATATTCGCCCTACCGGACAAAGCATCTCGTATTACATAGACAGGCTGCCTTCAGAGGGACGAACAATAACACTATATGGACAAAGCAGGGAAGTCAGGCTTAATTAGTGGGCTGAAAAAGTAATAAAGTAGACCTTTTCTAATTAATTAACGTCCACTAGAAGTTTTCTTGAGGGGAAGGGGAAGCAGCCAAAGAGAAGGAATTTGGCTGGAGCCGGCGTCTCATTGCCCACACGACCTCGCGTGGACCTTTCAAGTAGAGCCAAGCGGTGCTGTAAATTGGGGTTACCTCTCGTCAGACGAGTCGGTTTGGCATGATCGTGTCCTGGGGGGAATCAGTTTGACCAAAGTATTCTTATCAAGCCGAATTCAGAGATGAACTTTGACCTTTGTGTTTTGATGTTATGGTGGAGGCTTAGACGTTATTTGAATTGTCGTCAATTTTAATGGCTCATAATAATATACCAAACAAAGAGAGGGGTGTTAGTTAATTTTCATTTGTCTAACCCGTGTTTGCTCGAAACAACAGTATTTCAATTGCATGATGAGATATAGAAAGGTTGTCGTTATTTTCCACAAACGAAATTAATTCTCATGAGTGAAACTTAGTGGGTGATCGAAACTTGAAGCTTATGATTTTGAAAAACATAGTCGTTTACTCTACAGAAATCGACAGAGACACGCTCAAATATAACTAGGATGAACCCCATTACGATACACATTCTGCAAAATTGGATCAGTAGGTAGCTCGCATAAGTGACGTTTTGATGCTGCAAGCTGCAACTGCTGGGTACTGATATGAGTTGGAGGAGAACACGAGTGTCTCTTTTGCCCTGGGTGAGTCAGCAGTGACCTGTTGCATCTCTTTGACTCCGAGATTCGTTAACAATAAAATATGATCCCGTATGCGTAATACCAGCCTGGAGGTTGACCGAATTCACTAGCAGCGCTCAATATGTGAGGATGTTCGGTTAAGATAAACTTTACTTCAACTCCTTTGGAAAACACCGATATGGCGCTTGCATTAGCGTCTACAACTTGATAATTTATATTATAGTGTGGTCAAAAATTCATGGTGCAACTTATCCTCAAATGTCTTTATAGCCGGTGAATCAATGTCACCCATACTTTGGACAGCAGTTTGTCTCAATTTGTCTTAACTTAATCATATTTTTCCACAACAATTGAGACTAGATTTTAAAACTTCTCTTCATAAATTTATATAAAATACTAGAAACCTCCTTTACCCGGAAAATAGAATTGTTCACAGCACTTCCCGCTCCTTACACACATTTTGTATACGCATAGCGAATGGGTTACGTCACAGCTCACCAATGACACTTTTTAGTGACAAAACTAGTTACAAGAAATTAATTTTTTAGTGAACACTTTTTTGCACTAAAACGTAAGTTCTCAAAGCATGCGTTCAATAAAGATAATCTTGTGATAAGAAAAACATGATGGACTTGCTTTTAAAAGCGATATAATCGTCCCTGTTGTAGAAATCAGTAGAAACCACCCACTAGGATTTTTAAAATTAGTATTTATTAAGGAATTTTCTAAAACAGAGCTAACAGGTCTTTACAAAAATATTTTTCTGTTAAAAAAAATTGATACAAGTCACTGTGCAAAAGCTGGAGAGTTTATGTTCTACAGCTGAGGAGATGTTTAACAATAAGTCACGCCACGAATTTTTGACCGCACTATAATGAAAACGTTAAACAATCTCTCACTCTCACTCTCTCTTTCTCTCTCTCTCTCTCTCTCTCTCTCTCTCTCTCTCTCTCTCTCTCTCTCTCTCTCTCTCTCTCTTTCTCTCTTGCTTGCTTTATTTTTCCAATTGGCACACAGCCATACAAACATACATGATACATTGTCGACATTTTCGTTCACACAAACAGTTGAAGAAATCGGCAACTCTGGGGATACCCAATGTGGTTCTATACAAAATAAACAGAAAATATATTTTTATGGACCTTATAGTAGCCTAATAAAATCAGTATTATTACAAATGATTTTCATCCCCTATTGACAAAATTTGATTCTTTAATGGAGGCAACTGCTTCAAACTTGCCTATCAGAAACAATACCATCTAAGTGACTCCAAGCAGAAAGACCAGGATGCTCAACAAAACAGTATCTTCTACACGTGAAAATCGAACCCAGGTCTTAGACGTACAAATGAAGAGCAAACCGTTCTTCGCAGATGCTAACCGTAATCTTGTGCGACGCGATGAAAAATCAGAATTTTTTACTCAAGCTCATCGGAAGACAAATTTGCAAATTTAATGTTGACTCAATTCTTGAAAAGCAAGAAACGGCTCTATGAAAACGGAAGAATGACCTTCGAAGCAGAACATACGTATGTGACTTTTTCATCCACTTACCTCTGATGATAGTATGCTTTGGTTTCAATTTAAGTCCCTCTCGAAACTGTAAATGTCAATCGACAATAGAACAGATCTAAATGACAGGAGAGACTTCAAACATTCTTCAGCTGCCGGTGCCCGAACTACCAACTAAAGTATGTTCCAGTCCAGATTTGCATAATAGTCCAGCCGATATCTGATGGAGGCAACAGTGAATAAATAACAAGCTGATAAAATGTTCAAAGTCCCTTTTTTTAACGGAGTTTCTTCAATCTATGGAATAAGTTGCATGACCCACAAACATTTTGTCGAAATTCAGATTCTCAAAAAGTTGAAAAAAACAAGAAAAAGTACATGTCGCAGATACCATTGTTAAAGTATAAAACATACGAGGTCTGTCTCAGAATAAAGTTTCCCTGTCATGCTGTCCTCACTTATAATTATAAATCACCTTGTATTTGGTATCAACAGAAAGTTTATAAATTCAAATACCTATTCAACGTAGGAACCATCAAATTAAAGACATATCTCCATTTGATGTACCCAGCGGTCAAAGACAGTGGTCAGTGATCGTTTGTCCAAGGTCCCGAGTGCTTTAGTCATAGCCTCTTGAATCTGGTCCTCGTCCTCAAATCGCCGACCTCGCAGCATTTCTTTCACCTTGGTGAAGAGGTGGAAGTTGCATGAGGCGAGATAGGGCGAATAGGGCAGGTGTTCCAATAATTCCCACGAGTAGCCCCAAATAAGCTCGTTCACAACTCTGGACTTGTGAACAGGCGCATTGTCATGATGCAGGATGATGCCTTCTTCAAGCAAAGCTGGTCTTTTTTCCGGATCGCATGTCTCAGCTTGTCTTTGAGGATGAACCTATAGTAGTTACCATTGACAGTTACGCCAGGTGTGACAAGCCAGCTCAGTAGGATGCCACTCATGTCGAAAAAAAAACAACCAAATGTGCATCACCTTTCTCTCCCAGTGTTTTCTGTGTGCACTTCATCGTTCATGTCAGACCTCCCACCTTCAACATCCCTGATCCATTTCCTTACTGTTTGAATTGATAGGAAATTATTCCTTATGTACTTTGTATAGATCACCCTGGGTTTCAACAGCAGACTTGCAGAGAAGAGTTGAAAATTTGATCTCAACTCGGCATAGTAGCATGAGAAGGTTGCACCAATATTTTGCTCAGCTATTTTCCTCGAATTTGCCTTGGACAAAGCGCAAAAGAACACCCCACTTGACACGTCACAGCTCCATGACCCGTTCACCAATACACTTGCAATTTGGCGTTGAGATTCGTTAGACATGATGTCATGACAGCACAAAATTTAGTGGCTGTTGTTTGGGTACTTTTGATTTTATGGAGGAGGGAAACTTTATTCTGAAACAGACCTTGGAGTTGTTTGGTTTTTTCCCTTTCTCCTGTAAAAAATTGTGCTTTCTGGGTTTACTGCATTTTAACAGCCTGTCGACAATATAAATTATATTCATACATATTATCATTATTATTGTTATTATTATTATTATTATTATTATTATTATTATTATTATTATTATTATTATTGCTAGATATATCATATTTTATGTATATATATATATATATTTATATATATATATATAATATATATAATATACATTTTATTATATATATACATATATATATTTTATAGATATATGATATTGATATATATATATATATATATATTGTGTGTGTGTGTGTATGCTTGTGTGTGTATGTGTTTGTATTCTATACATTGTATATCTATATATTACATAGAGTCGAAACTGCCTTAACAGAATCTTTGCAAGACGGAAACCTGTGTATAACGGAACCCCCCCCCCCCCCCCCCAACCGTGATAAATTCTTCTATGATTACCTCTATAAAACAGAAACCTGTCTAACGCCGAAACGGAAAGAGAAATTCCTTTCCCTTTGGGAGAAGGGGGTGGGGGTTACCTGTTTTAGACATAAATCTTTTGTCCACTCAGCCCTGATTTGAAATAAATCTATCAAGTTTGGTTCCATCGACTCTAACCTTTAGGCCTGCCTACACAATGCCGCCAGGCTAGGAAGGAGAGTGCGTGTGCAATTTGGGGATTTGTTGCAAGGTCCTTGACGTTACCCAATGTCAGGTAGAGCAGGCTTTGATGTTACCCTATACGTTCTTATACTAACCGTCTGACCGTCTAGATGTTACCCTATCCATGTGATCCCTCAGTGGTGCAGATGGTCAGGGTGTTGTGGCTGTGAAATCTCACCAGTGCCTGTGAAAGAGCTCAAGTGGAGCTCCAGCACAGAAACTTTCAAGTAGCCTGAGCAAAGATTCTCTACTACACGATCTTTGGCCAAAGGCCAGAAGGTGTAGTATTAGTTTAGCCAATGCCTGCCGCCCTGATCGTAGGTCTACAACTAGCCTAGAAAAGAGTTCCTCGAACCGTTGTTACATACACAGGACCGGTGGCATTGGTTGGTTTTGTTTATTACACCTATGGGTGGGGCTAAAGGTGGACCCAAAGGAGAAGTTCAAACGTTTCTGTTTATTAATTAATAGGTCAAACAGTGGTCTTGATGTAAGCACTGGGGGCTAAACGCTCAGAGAGTAAGAACGTATAGACTGGGGGCAATGGATAAGTAGGGCTGTCGCATGACATTCTCAGAGAAGATAGGATAGCACTTGAGAGATGTCAAGTTTTGACCACTGGCCACTGCTTGTCGACCAGACA